TACAATAATTTATTCCATGGAATAAGGTAATTGCTACATAGCTTGAGACGTTCTGGAATCATACTGAAACTCCGTACAGATATGACACTGAAAATTTTCTGCACCGTCAATTTCTCTCCTACTAAAGCCTAAATGCGCTCCTGGGCTATGTATCTGAACAGTAAAGTCGGTGTACCTTCCATGTATAAGATTGAGAAAAAGTTATGCTAGCACCTGTTCAGTATAGTTGGTTTTACGCACGCTTCCCACAAATTAGCTTATATTTACAACATCCGGAAGTGACGTAATTACTAATTGTGACGTCAGCTGCTATCAAACTGTATAGCAAAAACTTAGAAAACATAGGTAAGTGTTATAGTGTCATCAGACATATCGAATGTTAACGAACAAGTGATAAAACAGCGCTTCTCCATGCTCATCATTTTTCAGACAATCCTGGACAAAAGGTTGTGGACAACCCACAGAATTCGGCCTCGAAAGGCGTTTTACCTAAATAATTATCCCCCCGCTCCCCCATGCCAATGTTGAATGGGATTTTTCATCAAGCAACATTGAAGAGGGGGAGTGGGGGATATGCAAGTAAATTCAAGTTTTAGGTGTTTGTTATGATTTTTGCAAAGGTGGATTATAAGTGTCCACATGAGTTTTGGCCAGGATTGTACACTCACAATGCTGTCGTCACAAACAAAACAATTTTTGATTAATAAACAACAGATATGAACAATAATTTGGTTTTCCAATCCAATGAAGAGGCAAAAAAGTAGTGTTAACTCTACTTACTGAATAGGATTTTGTTTGGTTTAGGCAACTAAACCTAGCTAATCGTCATATTAATTTTATAAACAAACAAATCACGCCAAAATATTTCTTTACAGAAGAACAGAGAATGAAATATGAAACGATCGGGTAAAAGAGCCTGGTAACGAGCCTTTCACGTGAGTCAAATATTCTAAACACCCCCCCCCCCCCCGGGAAAAGTAAAGTCAAATTCCCCAAAGGGGGGGGGGGGGATGAACATCTAAGTCAAATCCCCTGTCACAGAATAGTCGGTCCCTTTGATGTTTTTGTCCGCAAAAAAATTTACTTTGCCACGCCATCCTGTCTAGTACAACCACTGATCTGTACTAGTACAGATAACTGATATACAGTGGTACAGATCAGTGAGTACAACCGGAAGTTTTTATAACGTTTTGATAAGTACAAAGTGCCGGTTGTACTAGCCAGGATGGTGAATATGGCATGGATTTATGACGATTATATTTGTTTTGAAAAACACGGATAGATATTTGCTCGAGTCGGACTTCTGGTGGTAATACACAGATTTAGAAAACACAACGCGAAGTCTAAAGACGACGTAAAAATGGCGTGAGAATGGCGTAATGTGCCATCAATGGATGTGCCACACCATTTTCACGTCGTCTTTGGCGTCGCCTCGTGTTTTCTAATCTGTGTATTATCTATTCTGTGTCCCTGTCTACGCCCGCACCTCCCCTCTTGGGATTTACATCACTGAGCTATACTATACCATATTACTGGAGTACCTGCTCGGCATGAAAGAGTGTCGCCGAAAACATGGCGGCGCTTACGCCATTTCCATGGCAACTGGTTCGAAGTCTCCATGGTAATTGCCACTGACCAACCGCGATCCGAAGCATTAAGCAAAGTCCAGCACCCCCCTGTTTTTACACAAATATTTCAGAATTTAGACTTTACTAAGAGATTTTAGGTTGTTTTTGAGCTAGAAAATCTTTCCCTCGCACTTTACTTGTTTTACCATGTGGAGGAAAAGTGCCGTTTTGTTTCGTTTATTCATGCAACAATTCACTATCAAGAATAATTAACTATTTTTTCAGGTAAGATTCATGAAACTATTTTTAATTTGTAGAAGCTTGCTAGATATAAAATGACTCTCGAAATGAGTCAAATGACTATAAATATATATAACTATATAAGTAAAAAACTCATGCATGCTACTATATATATATATACAGCAAAATTAATATTTCAATAGCAGACACATTAAATAGCCTCTGGAACCGGGGTACGGACACATAAATCCTGTTTATAATCGTTGAAAATTGTGGTCATGAAATTATGTTGTTTTGTGTTTTTTATTGCCAGTTTTTAATATAAATTTATAATAATTGTGGTTGTTCACTTGATCGTGTGATCGTACAGATTATGTATGGTGTGAATCAGGATTAATATATAGATAAGCACGAAGACAGAGAGCGGTGTGGGACAGAGGGAACAAAATATCTAGGACTTGGGAGTGTTCAAAGCAGTGTGCAAAAGTTGGATAAGCATGCCATTGCTTGCCTATGTGTTTTAGAGACAATGTCGGCGTTTTTATAATCTTAAAATTCATCGGAAACAAATCGGACAGGACTCGGGATTGTGATAATAAAATTCGTCGGAAGCGAATCGGACAGGACTCGGAATATACCGGTGAGATAAAAACAACCACGAGGGAACGATAAAACAAAACCAATACCAGAAATGTGGGACATTTTGCGTCCGCAATTGTAACCAGCGGTTTTACGCATAAATGATGATTCATCAAAAATACAAACAAAATGGCGGCTCATAGTCTTCAAAGACAAATCGTGTTGTTAATATATTGAAGAGGAAACTCCGTGCTGACGGCTAAATTCTATTTTATTTTACTGCGATTAACTAATGTAAGATTGTCTGACATTTTTTACAACAGCAGAACCACTATTTGTGGCACGATCGAAGAAGTATTTTCCAAATTTGACGCGTTTACGCACGTATAATAAATGTATTTAGCTGAGAAATGTGCATAAATTTGCGTGATGGGCAGGGTAAGAGACTGGGAAGAGCATAATTAATTTAAAAACAAATATGGCGGAGAAGAAACGCAATGTATGAAAATTTTATCGTAGTTGTGCTGATAAAAATGGCCTCTTGTAGCATGTATGGATGAATAAAATGGCTAAGTTTAGAGGATTTTGGAAGTAGTTTCCTGCGGAATTTAGATACTTTTGTTGGCGAATATATAAACTTTGAATGTTATTGAAACAATTGCGATGCCAAGCTCAAGATTTCGCTGGATATATTTCCGTACACCAGGCTGCGTTTGTGGCGTGTATTGTCAGATTCACATGCAATATAAGGAGTTATTATGCTGGTGAATGTGATATCAATAGTGAGCTCGGGAAGTGAGTGTATTTTATTCTAGAAATAGTTGTTAGAATTAATAGATTCCTGAATCAGCATAGCATGTGAAACGATGCCAAGTAAACGTGATTTGCGGCTCATTCATGCGATATTTGAGAAAGTTCTTATATGCCTATACTAATCCCAGCATTATCGGACGCCATTTTGTTGCGTAATTTTTTGTCATGTCCACCATCTTGACCCACATTTCTGGTAATGCAAATACAGACGAGATTATGTGAGAATTATGTGAGAGTTTATGCATATTTTTATAGTTTCAAACTTTAAATAAATATCAAAAAACATTCGCGACACAGTGGCGATCCTGCCAGGACGGCGTTGCTGGGAGAAACAGTGAATTGTGAGTCAAATTAAGCGATAATTTTAACATTTTGGGAGTCACAACAAGCGAGCAAAATGGCCGACGTTGTAGAGAAAAAGATCGAAGGTAAGCTTCGTTTGTTGAAGTTTAACAATGAACAAACAACAAAAATTGTGGAATCAGCTGATCTAAAAGCTATTGAGAGACACGTGAGCGTTTTAGAATCGATTATTGAGAAAGTACATGAGCTAAAACTGGAAGTTCAAGAGATCAAATTTGAGAGTGGTGAGGAAATTGGGTAAATATGAAAATATTACTATTAAGGGTGTAAGGCATGTAGTCAGTGAGATAAAGCGAAAGGAGGGAGAGAAACTTGATGAAGAAAAGCGTAGACGAGTTTTAAAGGACGAAATTGAACTAGAAAAGGCAAAACTTGAAGTTAGATCTAAATTTGAAGCAAGTTCCAAGGCCTCAAGTGTTGGCGAGATGGGAGCTAAGTTACCTAAGCTTGTGATTAGCAAATTTCAAGGCAATCATCTAGATAGGGTAAGATTTTGGAATCAATTTGAGATTGAAATTGACAAGTCCAACATAACACAGGTAGCCAAGCTGTCCTATTTAAGAGAATTACTCATGCCTAATGCTCGAGTAATGATAGAAGGGCTTCCTTTCTCGTCTGAAGGTTATGAGAGAGCGAAAACGATTTTGAAAACCAAGTATGGGCAAATCAGTGAAATCATAAATGCACACATACAGTGTATCTTAGGATTACCTAAAGTTCATGGAACAGAACCAGCCAAAGTGCACAATTTTTATGAGACACTTGCAAGTCACGTTCAAACATTGGAAACATTAGGCAAACTGAAAGAGATTGGGGGGTTTGTACGTGGAACTCTGGATAAGTTACCAGGCATTAGACCGGATCTGGTTCGCCTTGGGGTTTGTACAGCTAGTTGAATCTCTCAGAAAGTGGTGTGACCGCAATCCAATTCAACCGAGTGATCGCAAGGGAGATAGTCATAGCCGTCGTCATGGTCACTCTTACCAAGCAACCCTTCACCAAGTTCGACGGTGTGCGTATTGTGATGGCGAGGATCACAAAGCAACAAAGTGTAGAAAGGTCACTGATGTTGAACAGCGTAGAAGATCCTTAGCGAAAAGCGACTTTGCTTCAATTGCACTGGCGCAAGACACCAAGCAAAGGATTGTAAGAGCAAGCACCTGTCAAAAATGTGGTGATCAACATCATACCTCCATATGTGATAAGAAACTTGGCAAAGATCAAATGCTGGTGGCAACAGGTGAATCTACTGTAATATATCCAGTGGTAGTGGTGTCAGTTGATGGGATCAAATGTAGAGCGCTCCTAGACTCGGGCTCCGGGAGTTCATATGCTTCATCATCTTTAATCAAAAACCTACACAAGAAACCAGCTCAAGCAAATCGAGATGATGGTTTGTTCAACCACCCAAAAGGTCAACAGCTACAAGGTGAACATCTCGAGTGTCAATAAGAAATTTGAAATGTCAACGATGCTCAATGAAGTGGATAAAAGTGTGCTACTTACAGTCCCAAATCCTAGATATGAAGAGCTTCTTAAAGTGCATATGACATTAATACCATTTTTTCACCAAAAATCAGGAAAAATTAGACAATTCGAATGATATAGATCATTCCTTGATCGGATAAATACTTTCAGAGATAATTTAGATCGAACATGCAAAAAAATAGGGTTTTTCAAGACATGGCCGGGAGAAAAGAGGCTGAGTACGAATCAGGTTTGTGATGTCACACCGGGGACGGAAGTGAATCGACTCATGTTGTATTACAATAAATATCTATTGTGTGCAATGGAAATTTGTATACTTTGCGCTTCGAAATGCCTGTTAGATATATTGTATACGATTGTTCTAACACAACAGATGCTGCAAATCAAATAGCTCTACATCCAATACCATATTATGGGGATTTTCGGCTGCAGTCATTAAGGAGAAGGAAACATTGGATAGATTTGGATAAATTGAAGCGAGCCAGATCGGAGCCGTCTCGTCAATTGTCAAAGGCATGTTTGCACAAAGACATGCATTTCAAGGCGGATGACTTTTTGTACACTCTGAATATGTCGGGGCTAAAAGAACGCACATTTCCTCGACTAATGATGGATGAAATTGTGGTTAGCGTTTATCCGACGGTACAAACTGTGGTCGAAAGGCAGGAGGACATATAATAATGCTATTAAAACTGCGAGGGTGATTTTATATACACGCAAGGTGAGACAATGTCTTATATTATACCTCAAATTCAAATTGTCCAACCAGGAAGCTTAGTTTGTGCCACGTGAGCATGAAATTAATCGCGATATCACGCCTTACGTCATCAATTAGCGAGCCTGCGTTCCTTTTGACAATGTTCCACCCCATGTTCCCCGGGGAACATGGGGTGGAACATTATTCGCGTAGACCGCGCGAGACAACACGCATGACAAAAACATGGCCGACAAAATATAAATAGTATTGATGAGTGATGAATAATCAAATTTTAAACGTAAAACCTGGGCCTTTTTCAAAATTTTGAAGCAAATTTTGAAAAATGTTGTCATTAATATTCCAAACGATATGTGATTCGAAAGAAAATCGACGAATACTTGCGTTAATCCGAAAATAAAACATCGTGTTCACGAAGGTATGTGTCAAGTTTTTAATTCTCAACTTGGAGGCTTTTAATTTTCGGTATAATATATCATTTATAGACCCTCCGCTCGGGGAATTCGGCGAAATATTACCCTCAGTGATGCTATTTCCCTCGGGGCAAAGCCCCTCGGGAAATATCATCACTTCGGGTAATATTTCCCCGAATCCCCCTCGGTCCAGGTCTATAAATGATAATTGTCTCACCTTGCGTGTATATAAAATCACCCTCGCATTTTTAATAGCATTATTATATGTGAGGCTGCCTTTCGAGTTTCGACCGCAGTTTGTACCGTCAGATAAACGCTAATCCCAATTTCATATCTCATTCAGTCGAGGAAATGTGCATTCTTTTAGCCTCGACATGAAATGCACGTCTTTGTGCAAACATGCCTTTGACAATTAACGAGACGGCTCCGATCTGGCTCGCTTCAATTTATCCAAATCTATCCAATGTTTCCTTCTCCTTAATGACTGCAGCCGAAAATCTACATAATATGGTATTGGATGTAGAGCTATTTGATTTGCAGCATCTGTTGTGTTAGAACAATCGTATATAACATATCTAACAGGCATTTCGAAGCACAAAGTATACAAATTTCCATTGCACACAATAGATATTTATTGTAATACAACATGAGTCGATTCACTTCCGTCCCCGGTGTGACATCACAAACCTGATTCGTACTCAGCCTCTTTTCTCCCGGCCATGTCTTGAAAAACCCTATTTTTTTGCCTGTTTGATCTAAATTATCTCTGGAAGTATTTATCCGATCAAGGAATGATATATATCATTCGAATTGTCTAATTTTTGCTGAGTTTTGGTGAAAAAATGGTATTAATGTCATATGCACTTTAAACGATGCAGACATCTGGAGGGAGTGGTAATGGACGACAACGACGAGAAGAGTGAATTGCCAGTTCATGTTATGCTAGGAGCTAGCGATTATTCGAGAGTCAAAATGGAAATGAAACCGAGAATTGGTCAACCACTGGAAGCGATAGCCGAGCTGACAACATTAGGATGGACGGTGATGTCTGCTGGCAGTGAGTCTAATCTGTCAAATGTTTACGCAACCAGAATGTCATCTGCAGATTACCAAAAGTTATGTAGTTTGGATGTATTGGGTCTGGAAGACCGACAAGAAGGAGATCAACAAGTCATTTATGAGGAGTTTGCGGAACAGCTAACCCGGAATAAGGACGGTCGGTACGAAACAAGTTTGCTATGGAGACCTGGACATGATCCCTTGATCTGTCTTGCCAACAAATGAACGTGGAAGTCTAAAGCGGTTGGAGGATCTCATAAAGAAACTAGAAAGAGATCCAGTCCAGTTGGACAAGTATGATGCCATCATTCAGGAACAGTTAACAGAAGGTATTGTGGAGAGAGCTGTCGATTAGCCACAAGGTAGAGAATTTTATATTCCCCATAAGCCTGTAATCAAGGAAACTGCCGAAACTACAAAAATGAGGATTGTTTTTGATGCGTCTGCGAGAGAAAGTGGAAAAAGTCCCTCCTTGAATGATTGCCTAGAGACAGGCCCACCTCTCCAAAACCTCCTATGGAATGTTCTTGTCCGGAACCGACTGAAGCCAATTGCTTTATCTGCAGATTTGAAAAAGGCTTTCTTGCAGTTGCTTATTCGTGTCGAGGACAGAGATTCCTTACGCTTCCACTGGATCAAGAACAAGGACCCCAGTGACATTGAAGTTTTGAGATTTACACGAGCGTTGTTTGGTTTAGTCCAATCCCCTTTCCTTTTGGCTGCAACACTGAAGCAACAATTGAACGGGCTGCGAGAGAGATATCCGAAAGAGGTCGAGGAGATAGAGAAGTGTCTGTACATCGACGACATAATCACTGGTGGATGCACGAATGACGAAGTCCTGAACTTGAAAGAAACTACCATATCTGTGTTCGAGGAAGCTACCTTTGAACTCCATAAGTGGCATTCCAATGAGCCACAACTGGAAAGTGCACAGGAGAATAATCATGTTGTTGATCATCAACAGAGTTATGCCAAAGAACAGTTAGGAGTTCAACATGGCGAGACAAAATAGTTAGGACTATCATGGAACAAACACAATGACGCACTTGGTGTTGCCTTTCCAAATAAGCCTGAAGAGATCACAAAGAGGGAGATCTTACGATTTCTCGCATCAGTTTATGATCCTCTTGGGATTGTATCGCCAACATCTTCCGTGGGACGAAAAACTGTCTGACAACGTTGGACAACGGTGGCTGAATTTCCTGCGGTGCCTTCCTGAGAAATTCCATTTGGCAAGAAGTATTCCAAGATACAGAGAACCCCTGGAAGAAGTGGAGTTACACACCTTTGCCAGTGGGTCCAGTATTTCAGCAGTAGTATATGCGGTAGTCAAGCAACATTCAGGAGTAAGTGTCGGATTGGTGGCGGCAAAATCACGATTGGCCAAGAAGAATCTTACAATCCCAAAGCTGGAAGTGGTATCCGGGCATATGGCCGCGAATTTAGTTGGCAATGTACGAACTGCATTCTCGGGGTATCCAGTGAGAGCAGTATTTGGATGGTTAGATAGTCTAGTCGCCCTCCACTGGATCAAGGGAGGTGGAACATACAAGCAATTCGTTTCCAACAGGGTGAGGAAAATCAATGAGAAAGATTTCATTGTATGGCGACATGTTAGCACTGACCATAACCCAGCTGATCGAGGGAGTAAAGGATGTGAAGTAAATCGTTTAAATGGTGAATGGCTGAACGGACCTGTTTGGCTTGCTGATCGATCCTGACCAGTGGCCTGCCTCTGTGATGACTAAGCCTAGTCAAGATTCGGAAGCCGAAGCCAAGACGATCAAAGAAATCCTTGCGACAGCGATAGAAACGGAAGATAACCTTGATGCACTGTTAATCAAACATCCTTACTGGAAGACAATCCGTATTAACGCCTGCATAGCGAGATTTCTCCACAACTGCAAGATTCCAAAACATTTGCGAATTCTTGGCCCCCTGACGACCGAAGAAACATAGCAACAAGTGAAGTGGTGGATCCGAAGAGTCCAAGAGAGATACAGAAAGAC